TGGAGGGAGCCTAAACTGGGGGCTTTGAGGTTGTAGGAAAAAGCAGGAGACCAGAAAGGGGCAGCCCGAGAAGCTGCAAGGGGGAAATGAGGTCTGTCTCAGAGCCCTGAGAAAGGGTGGCCCAGGATGCTCTGTTCATTCCTTGACTGCAGCTCAGGGAGATGCATTTCAGACTTCTGGCCTTCTAAAATGTCACTATGCAATGGGCAGTCCTTGTGCATGGTGGGCAAAGAAATGTCAAGTGTACATCGAGTAGCTAGTGGGAAGCAGCTACATTTACCGAAGATCACGGGAAGTTGTGCTCAGGACCAATCCATGCCAACAAGAGACATGGCACAGACAGAAGTGATGCTAGGGTGACAGAAAAGCTAGAGCAGTGCACACAGGTCATTGCACACAGGAGCACCAACAGCCTCCAATAAGTCACGCTTTTGGAATTTAAAGGATTCATACCTCCGAGCTGGGGCCTCCCCACAAGCCCTAGGTATGAGTGACTGGATGCTGTGCCTTCTCAGTGGCTCCCAACATGCAAGCCTGTCCCAGAATTCAGTCTGATCTTAATTCATGCATGACATGTAGCACACATTTATGAACCCTAATGAGGCTGGAGTAGAGTGAAAGAGTCTGAAGGTCAGGCTAGGAGACCCAACACGCATGTGCTCCGGCATAGAGCATCAGAGATCTTCGGTTTTGTTATTTTGTTTTCTACCTCTCTTAGGACAATGGAAGGAGAAATGGCCATGCTGGTTAGAATCAAATGGATGGAAGAGAGGGACTCCCTCAGCTCCATTGTTTCTAACTGTACTACAATGGTAATTCAATAAATAATTCTTTTTTTGGACACAGCGTCCATGTAGTTCAGGCTGGTCTTGAACTCATTTTGTAGCCCAAGCTGGCCTTGAACTCGTAGTAATCCGACAGGTCCAAGTTGGACACCCACCCAAGCAGACCCACTACCCGCATCCACAGGAGCACAGAGATAACAGGAAGCCAGCAGCTGCCCTGCTGCTCTTAACACCACCCCAGGTCCACCACCCATGGGACCCTAAAATTTTCCACCCTCTTGAGCAATGCCCCCTCCCCTACCTAAACTCCCCTGTATCAACCACACGCACCCTCCTCTCAGTGCCAAAGGCCTTCTCGCCCTTGGCCCATCTGCACCCAAGATGGCAATAAACTCATCGCATGTTGCTTAGACTTGGCATGCCTTGGTGGTCTCAACTGTGCCTCGGTCTGACCTTACACAATCCTCCTGGCTCAGACTCCTGAGTGCTGGGATTTCAGGCGTGCACCACCACGCCTGGCTTAAATAATCTTTTAAAGTAGAAAACGAATACCAGAGAAGCAGAAATTTCCCTCCACTCTCTCCAGCCGTGTCTCTGGCGTCAGCGTCCACTGTGGTCCGGGAGCCCGTCCCCCGCAGGCACGAGGAGGTACTCTGATCACAGCGTGCGCGCCACTTCTCTGCCCCAGACCTGGCTTCCAAGCTCAGTCACGCGCTCACCACAGAGCAGCTCATCTGCTATGACAGGAGAGGACACAGGGCCCAGAGAGGCCGGCTCACATGCCCAGGGCCACACGGCTAGGAAGTGACAGGGGTGGCTTTGCACCAGGCAAGTTGGCTCTGGCTTTTGGAGCACTGAGTGCCTCTGTGTGTTAGTAGACACCGCAGTGGCAGGTGGCACCCAAGAACAGCCCTGATCCCACTCCTCCCCGTGTCCACTCTTGGCCCTGTGTCCCTGCAGTGGCTTCCCCTGAGCAGGGGGAGCCTGATCCGCTCCCTGCGACTGGGTTCGGCCCTGTGCTGTGCTTTGGCCATGGAAGGTTAGCAGGTGTGAAATGACCACAGCCAGGACAAGAGCTCTCTGACCGGGCTCGCGCTCTGGTGCCCTCCAGGGACATGGCCAGGCCAGACTGGCGCTCCTAGGAGGCAGGTGAGGGGCATGTGGGCCAGAGCCCTGTCTGCATCAGCCGCTGATCTGCAAACTCAAGAGGTAAACAAATACTCTGTACTGCACACTGCTGTGAGGTTGTAGCTGTCACGGGATTATTACACAGCATTATTGAGACAAGAGCTAAGTGATATACCCTGTGTCCCTGACTCTGTTATAACTGCAAACTGATTGTCTTTAAGCCCACTTGCAAGCTATAAGCAGATAATCAGTACTAGGGCTTTCTCAAAATGGTTTAGTGATCTCACACCTTCTAAAGACACCCTGAAATTTCATTCTCCCCCCATTTTTTGGGAATAGGTATTGAACCCAGGGCCTTGCATTCACGTACTCTACCACTGAGCTACACTCCTAGCCCTGATATTTTGATTTTCTTAAAAAGTTGTAACGTAGGTAAATCAAAGACCCATTCCTTTCCCTTGAAGACACAGTATTTATTTCGTTAAAATCAAGCAGGATGTTCTGTTGATCAGTAAGTGGCAAGTGTCAAACATGAAATATATACACATTTGAAACAATATGCTGCAGGATACAGGCTGTAAACTTCCCAGGTGAGAGAAGGCCCTCTCTGCAGACTTCCACAGCTTTGCTATGACAGGGGCAAAAATCAGCCACCACCTCCGAGTGCCCAGGGCCAACTGGTAGCACCCTATCTGTTTTAATAGCAATAATACATCTGTGTACTGAGTTATGTACATGGAGACCCCTGGAGTCTTCCATTCCCTGTGAAGCAGACGTTACAGAGGCAAAGCGGAAACCAGATGGGAAGGGTGTCATGATGGGTACTTGGCTAAAAGGACACCAGAGCACTGTGTGCTGCTAAGTATAAGACAGAGTCCAGAAAGACATGTGAAAGCTGGGAGCACAGACTTGATCACTCGCGTTTTACACGTGTACTAGTAAAACGATCCCAATACTGGATTTGAGGGGAAAGAATCACAGGTCAAAAACAAAGTGTAAATTATAAACAAAACAATCAAGTTACTCGTGAGGTCCGCGGCCAGCCAGTGGCCCATGTTCCCAGCAAGGGGCTACCAGGGGGACAGGAGGAGGGAGCTGCTGCCGCAGTCACGCGTTTCCAGCGAGGAACAGCTCAGCCGAGCAGGCAGGAGCACCTCTGAAAGACTCGTCCTTTCGGCACTGGGCGGCTGGCGAGGGCAGGAGCGGGCGTGGGCGGCATCACCTGCGGGACTGAGGGTGCCCAATGGGACTCGGCTATAGGACAAGCCTTCACGTCCACGCGGCGCCTCCGTGTCAGGCTCAGTACGTGTGTGCGCATGTGCGTGCACGCATATGAACACGTTTTAGGAAGGCCGTGGTTATTGCTAACCGAGGGAGAAACTCACCACACCTGCTATAACGCTCCTCAAGGGAGTGAGGGAAATGAGGAACAAACATTCCATACACATCCAGTGATCTGAGGGATAACCAAAGCCATTAACCATGGCTCTGGTTAGATGAACGTTTTTCAGCAACACACGGGACCGACAATTATTAGGTTAAAATCAGCAGGTCACAACCACGTCATCAGCAGCTGGACATGGCTGCCTGTGCTCATCTGCCACGCGTATATCTTCTTTGGTGAACTGTCTGTTCAAGTCTGCTGCCCCCTTTTTAACTGGGCTGTTCATTTTCCTACTGGTGGGTTTTCCGAGGTCTTCGTCCATTGTGGGTATAAATCCTTCGTCAGACACGCGACCTGCAAATATTTCCTCTCAGTCTCTTATTGCCAATGGAAACCACAGCATGATGGTGTCATTTAATGAGTAAGTCTCTCTTTAGAGTCCTGCCATTTCAACCCCCAAAAGAGGCACGGAATCTTTAAACTCTGCAGTAGAAAAAGGTCAAGTTTAAGAGTTAAGAGAGTCCACGGGGCCCTGATAAGGCAGAGGAAAGCTCTTACAAGTACATGGAATGTGGCCCTCAATGTTTGGGGGCAAACTTGGTGGCAAAACAGAGAAAAACCAATGATCATGAATGACCGTATGTGCATAACATTAATGTTCTGGGGGAAAAGAAACTAGAAAAATATTCCATGAGTCTCAGGAAATAAATAGCTAACAAGCACATTAGTACTGGACACACGTAACAAAGTACTCTTACTTGGCTGAATAACATCACTGAACCTCTGATGCCAAGTGAGAAGGACCACAGTGGTGTGTCTGTCATGTGCATGAGTTCTAAAGCACGCACATCATTTCTTTACGTGGCACTTATAATCTTAGAGCGAGTGCACCCAACATATAGGCTGTCCATTTCCCAGCTGGTTTTCAACCATTAGGAAACCATTCATCTCTCCTACATGTTAATCGATTATCGTTCTCATCCTGACTTTGCCGGGTCAGGGAACATGATTATAGGGTAGAGACGATGGACACTCACACTGAGGGCCCGGCAAGGACAAAACCCAGCAGCCCATGCCCAGATGGAACCCGCGGGAAGATGTGCACCAGGGAGTCCCCTCTCATGCATCCTGAGGATGTTCTCGGTATCTTCCCAGGTGGCTGGTTTGGCATCAGAAGATGGAGGAACAGCGGCCCTACTGCTGACGGTGACAGTCTGAGTCCCGCAGGCCCAGCGTAGTGGGTCCATGGGGACCACACCAGCCAGTGCCTGGCGTCTCATGTAGTCATGTGTGAGGGAAACGGCTCCATTCCAAACGGAAACTAAAAGGTTCATTAAGTGATCCCACGCACGGCGATGGAGCTCCGAGGCCGTGGCTGCCCTCTGCCAGGCTGACTGGCCACTTACTTGGCTCTTTCGGGCTGCAGGCTGTCGAGCAGGCACTTCAGCTGCTCTTCCCCCAGGTGGATTTTGTCCTCCAGCTCCCGCTGCTCAATGATGAGGGCCGACTTCATCTTCACGAAGTGCTCATAGTCTGCCAGGCTCTCCTCACTGAGGTAGGCGGCCAGGATGTCAAACACGATGCGTTCGCGGCGGTCCAGGTTCTCTTTGAGTTCCTTGGCATCCTCGTGCTGCTGGATGAGGACTCTCTGCTTCTCCAGCAGCGACTGCTGTGGGGAGACAGAGACATGAGCCTGTTGATGACCAGGACTAAGGCAGATGCCCCGCCCAACCCCTGAAAATGGGTCAGGGTAGGGGGCTACTCCCACAGCTGTCCATCAGATGGTCCGAGGAAATCCTGATGTCGCCTGAGACAGGATGGGACCCATACAGAAATGCCAGGGGTGTGGATGGCAGGTGCCTTGTGGCTGCAGCAGGTCCTGTCCCAGCCTCCTAGAAGCCATGCATGGACCCCCTGGGTTTCTCCCCAGTGTCCTGACCTCGTTCTCTCCCACCTGCCTTGAACAAATAACAAATCGTGGTGAGCAGCAAAAGTGATGAGGGGACCTGAAACTACGGAATTCGCAGGTGCTCACAAGGTCGAAGGACTTGTGGATGCTGTTTGCGTCCACGCCCTTTCCTTGACAATGCTAGGGGAAGGTTGGCAAGGAGGAAAGATGGTGAAATTCTGGGGCAGGATGTCTCGACCTCCTGACAGAGAGAACCTGTGGGCGCAGTCGCAGAGAAGGACATAAGACAGAGCAGAGGATGGGATGGTGACCGGAGGGTGCGTGAGTGTCTGGGGATCGGGCCCCTTAGGAGGGTTCTGTTCCGGGGGACACAACCCTGTTCCCAGCACACGAGACTCACACTCTCTCTTCTCACGGAACACGCATCGCGCTTCCCTACTTAATCCAAGTTGAAGGAAAACTAGGAGAGGAAGGGATGGGACAGTGTCCTCATGTGCAGGCTGGAAGGGGCCAGGCATTCATTCCCTTGGCTCAAGTTTCTCTCTTTGCTGCGGGGCCTTGCACATGGAAGCGGAAGCCCATGCTCTGCCAATGGGCTCCCCCTGGTAGCCAAGGTCCCGACTTCCGCCTGAGCACCAGGACAGCTGCTCTGCAGCCACAGGGCGCGTGCAAGGGTACACAGCAGTTTGCAACACACCAGGCACGGAAGGGGGTCAGTAAAGCAGAAGAACTAGTACCACTGTCACCAAGTAGCAGCCGGAAACTGCAAGTGCCCTCGGAGAGCCACTTCTGTGAAGTACCGTGACCACAAAACTTCCAGGGCCTCTGGCTCACTTCAGAGGAATACCTTGGTCTTCAGTGTGAGTGAAACAGAGAGACGATATACTGTCATGGGGAGAGGCCTGAGCAGGCCCATTTCTTCCAATAAAAAGGGATATAAGAGGGGCCGGGATTTAGCTCAGTGGTGCCGTATCTGCCTTGCAATCACAAGGTCCTGAGTTTGATCAACGGTACCGAAAAAAGAAAGGGGGGGGGGGCGGTATGAGATGTTGTCTGGTTCTGGACATATAGCTCAGTTTACGAAAAATCTGTCAAAGTCACCAGTGCCTGGTAGCTGCAGGAAAGATAAAATGTGTGTGTATGTGTGTGCGTACACGTGTGTCATAATAAATGACCAATTTCAAACCCTACTGTGTGTAAAGAACAGAACGAGATGTTTTACCAATAATATTTGACCCAGGAGTAAAGTATTTTGCATATAACAAAACTGAAACAGACTCACTAAGGAATGTCATCTCAGGAGTGGAAGCAAACTTAGACAAGCCCTTTGACCCTGTCTAGGTGGCTGGACGCACTCGCATTATATCACAGTGGCAACAATACCAAAATGTTCTCTATCACTGAGTACTTCTGCTTTTTCAGAGGGGGATGAGCTCAGGCAACGGAGTGACACATGATAAAGTTAAAAGGAAGCCTGTGTTCCAGGAAGAGATGCTTGTGAGTAAAGACCAAGGGAAGGATCTGAAGAGACGGCTAAAGGAGGGAGATGCCAGCAGTGTTGCATCCAAAGACAGTGGCGCAACTCACTGCACCTCAGCAGCATGCACTCTCCCGCTCAAAGGACAGAGCGGCCATGGGCACTGACTGTGCCCACAGCATCTGCCCTCCAAACAGCTGCCCTTCCCAGCACCCGGGGGACAGCCTTCCCTGCCCGCCTGTTTGCAGCCAACGCGTGTGTGGGTACCCGATCGCCAGGAGAAGGGCTGTCTTCCAAGTTATTGAGGGCGTTTTCCACCCGGGCCAGGCGGCCCGACAGGGACAGCAGCAGGTTCACCACTTTGTCCAAGTCTCCGATGAACATTCGGAACTTGGCGAACTCATTGGGTTTGCAGACGTCTTTCGCGATGGCCTCCACCTCGTCCCCCAGAGCGGTGTTGGCCTGGATGTCCTCCAGCAGGCTTTCTCGGGCTTCTCGGAGCACCTGCAGCTTGCGACTGATGCTGTCAATGAGCTCCTGCTGCAGGGATGCAGGGCAACATGGAAACAACTCGTTAGCTCAGCCTATGCCTGCACCCCTGTGCCAGGAGCCTCACACGCCTCCTGCGTATGATTCTGCACAACTGGGTGAATTTTCTTTCTTTCTATTTTTTTTTGCATTAAGGGCATTGAGCCCAGGGAAGGCTAAGTTACACCCCCCCACCCTGATCCTCCTGCCTCAGCCTCCCATAGTTGGCACTACAGGAATGTGCCACGGCACTCAGCTGTGAAGTTCATTCCACCATCAAATTATGCAGTGGACCCTCGAGTTACGACCAGCCTGACATATGAACAACTTGGTTTATGTCCGGAATTTTAGTTTTAACTTACGACCAAAGTCTTGAGTTATGACCTGCTCTAACCGAGCTGGCCTCCCTGCCATGGAACCCGCCCAGAGCACGAGCCAACGGGTGTTTACCCTGGCAGGGTGAACCCTAGAGAAGCAACGGTCAGCAGAGAAATCTCGAGCTGCCTTCGGAGAGCTCAGCCCCGTCAGAGGTGCACTCAACTAAAGCAGTTTCACCCAAGGATACTGAGCTTCCTCGGATGAGCTCCACGTGGACTGAAAAGTCAAATAGTGCTCAGGCACGCAAACCAAAAGCAAGACAAAATCATGCATGTGAACAGGCAGGTCCAAGGAGGACTCCAACCCATAGGGAGAGGAAGAAGAGGAGGTTTTCATTCAAGTCAGGACTGGCATCAGGCAAGGACCTGGAAAGTTCCGTGTTGTGCTGTGCCTCCGAATGGCGACTATCAAAAAGGGGGCCACGGTCTCAGCTTGGGGTTTGGAGCTGGTTTAAAGAATCAACTGATGACTGGCCTGGAGAGTAAGACACGAGGCTCACTTCCGCTCTCCCGGACAGAACATCCTGTCGCAACACAGGAGCAACGGCCGCCCACCCGGGCAGCACTGACGCTAAGATGGCTGCGATTACAGTGTGGAGAGTGCTCAACGTGGCACACAGGGGGTGCCTGGTACGTATCAGTTACCATGAACGTGGGACAGGAACGGCCTGCCCCATTTCCTACAGCACAAGCGAGTGAAAGCCGCCGGCCCACTGTCCACTTCTGCAGGAAAGGTCAAGTCTCAATAGCAGAAACACCAGAGCACGGCAGGACATCTGTACTTCACACTGAGGTCTCCACCTCAGATGCTGTGTAAAGAGAATGTCCATCTAGCATTGCCGGCGCACGGGAAAGGCCCACGCTCTAATCGGGACTGCCTCCTCTCAGCTGGATCTGCCTTAGGCTGACCTGCGTGCTGCGCTGGCCCACAGATTACCGGTGAGCAGTTTCCTGGCAACAGGCTCTGCTGCGATTAAGACTAAGACGCACACTTCTTCCCCAGGAAGGACCAGATGGGATTTATAAACTGCTCTGGCTTTTCTAGGTCAGGCTCCAGAGACACAGGATGGCAAGACGTTTTCTTTCCTTACAATTTACATAAGGAACATGTCTCAACTTCTTTTATGTCCTCTCTCACGTGTTTGTGGTGCTGGGGAAGGGACCAGGGCCTTGCTATGTTAGGCAAGGGCTGTAACACTGACCTACACCCCCAACCCTTTTAGAAATGTTCTCTCTCTCTCTGTCTGTCTCTCTCCCTCTCTGCCTCTCTCCTTCTCTCTCTGTGCCTGTGTGTGTGTGTGTGAGATATGTGTATTTACCTAGCTGTCTGGAAAGATTATTTAAATCAACTCCAAATCCCACAGCTGAAAACACAGCCCTATTTATTTATTCATTTTGGTTCTGTGAGACAGGATCTTGCTATGTAGCTCAGCCTGCCCTTGAACTCCCTGTGCAGCCCAGGCTGGCCTCCAACTCATGGTCTTGAACTCCTGTCACTGCCTCCCAAGTGCTGGGATTACAGGCGTATGCCACCACACCCCGCTTTGTGGCCTCAGTTTAGACAGTCATCATTTGAGGGGAAAAGCACAAGACAAAAACTTTCCAAATTCTTGCCCAATGCCAGTCCTAATGAATGGATACCTCAAGGAGTGGAGATACCCGCACGTGGAGGACCACCAGCCAGTGTTACCCAGCAGATCTGCTGGGTTTTTTTGGTGGGATGTGGGTTGCCAGGTGGAACCAGGGCCTTGCAAGCAGTAAGCACACGCTCTACCCCTGGGTTACACCCCAGCCCCTCAGTATATTTTCTTCAGCAATTATAGCGATGAAGATTTCTCATCAGTGTATGAAAACAGGACTTCAAAATATGACCTGGCCTGGGCATCTTGAAACTTGGCAGTCTGAAAGGACTCCAAATTCCCTTATTGATTCTTTTATGTGCCAAATTTTGGTTTATTCATTTACTTATTTATTTTGCAGTGTTGGGGTCAAATGTTTAATAAAAATATTTGCCCCGCCTTTGTTAAAGGGCCATTTACACAGTATGGACACACAAATGAATAGCTCAGACCACACAGGAATGCTGAGCTCCATCCCCAGCTCAATTCACTCTTTGAGATAGGATTTCACGAAGCTGTCCAGGCTGGCCTGGACCTTGTGGTCCTCCTGCCTGCTAGCTGGGATTACAGGTGTGCGCGCCCACGGCTGGCTTCCTCTGCTTGCTTCTTGCACACACACCAGGCCAGGCCGGGAGATAAGGATGAGAGTGTGCTGGAGGCACCAGGCCTGTGCTGCCTCTCACCTCTCAATTGTGATGGGCCAAGGCTCGGGGGTGGAGCCCTGGACACTTCGCTTCCTCCAACTGGGTGGGCACCAAGCACACACTTTTGGTTCTACTCCAAGGGAAAACCAATATCTTTTCTCTGTGGGCCCTGTGCCCACCCCTCTGTTTCCCCCTAAAACCACAATCCTCCAAGACTTCAAATTTAAACATGTCTATCATATTGAAAATCAATCAGTGGTTGTGCTCACTTCGGCAGCACATATACTAAAATCAATCAGTGGCATTTTAAAAATCACTAATGATACAAGCATCCTTTCAACATAATCATTTGCAACGGTCTTGTCACAAACAAACAAACAAACCAGCAGTTTTTATGGATGCCCTCTCGGCCATGCAGGGCCCACAGCAAACACAATGCCGCCCCCTCTTTTCTGTCCCCAGTGCTCATGGGTAAGGGGAATCAAGGCCCTGGGAATAAACCATACACGCTGTCCCTGGCGCCTGTCTTTGGCCATGCTGCATCCCTCACGTATAAATCAGGTGCCTCTGTGGCGTCATGGGTCGGGCCAGCTGACACGTGTGGAGTTACCCTAATGTAACAGGAATGATGTTGGCTAACTCTGTCCCTGCAGTGACTGTCATGGCTGTCGCCCATGATTTGTCCCTTAGTCCTGTTCTAATGCTATCCTGTCCTCGCTTGTCCCCTCAGCTCCAGGCCCCAGCCTCTGCTGCTTCTCCTCAGGACCTGTGCACCCATTTGCCCTCCCTCACGCGTCAGACCTTCCCAGGGCTTGCCTCTCACGTGTGTCCTCTTCAGACCCCTCTCCGCAATCTCACCCGTTTGTCTCTCTAACACTTTACCCTGCTCTAGCTCTACAACAATCACTGTCATGACTACTCAATTTTGCTACTGTCCTACGAAAGCCACCATAGTCCACATGCAAATGAGGGGGTGTGGCTGTGCCTCAATAAAACTATTTACAAAAGCAAGTGGTGGCCAGATTTGCTGAGCCTGAACTGTACAGTACATTTGTCTTTGTGATGGTGTCCACCTCTCCCATGAGTGCATAAGCTCCCTTAGAGAAGGCCCTATTCTGTATTCTGTCTACTGCTGGGGCCTCAAGAGCCAGGCTGGGTACGTAGGAGTTGGACACAGATGCCTTTTAACTGACAAAGCACCTTCTTCCATGAGACTAGGTCTCACTAAGTAGCCCAGGTTGGTCTCAAACTTGTGATCCTCCTGCCTTAGTCTCCCGAGTGCTGGGATTACAGGCATGCACCACCACCCCTGCCTAGAGAAGGTGGTTTCTGACTGACTGCTAGATTTCTTTATAGTCATCAGGTTATGGATATTTGAACCCGATATTCAAAGAGGACAGCACAGGTGATACATTGAAGGTCATACAATTAAGTCTCCTGGATTTCAGTTGGGGGAGAAGAGACAGCTCTGCTGAACTTAAAGAGAAGAGTACCCAGTTAAACTAATTTGAAACGGATCTTATAGAAAAGGATGGCAGAGAGATCCCTGTAGAAAGCGAGAACACAGATCAGAATAGAAAATAAACCATGAAGGGTCTGCCAATGTTGCCCTGTATTTCCCCGTCCTATAGGAGAGCCACATGCAAATGCTCTCAGACATGGTGCAGGGCCTGTGGAGTCCCTTTATTTTAAAATGGGGTCTTGCTATGTTGCCTAGGGTGGCCTGGACCTCCTGGGCTCAAGTGATCTTCCTGCCTCAGACTCCCACGTAGCTGGGTCTACAGGCACCAGCCACTGTACATGGATCCAATATGCGGTTCTAGTTTGGGATTTCCTTTCCTACCTTCTTCAGGGACAGGTCCCGGTCCAAGTCACTCCCTGAATCCTCCTCAGGTTCCTGCTGCTGCAGGCCCTTCATCTTGATTAGCAGTTCGGCCTTGGGGGCGGAGGTGCTGTAGTAGGTGGAATTGGTGGCCAGAGACACAGCAGCTGGCACACTTGGCTCCTCTTCCCTAGGTAAAAAGGTTAGAACTTAAGTTAGCTGCAACCATATGCACACATGCACCCTTTGGACCTGCTCCTGAGTTGTGACAAATCCCAGCTGGCACTAGCAAAAGGATACCAGCCAAGAGGTGACAGCCAGAGGAGGAAAAGAAAGTAGGTAAGAAAGCTAAAAAGAAAAAAAAATAGGGCCAGGGATTTAGCTCAGTGGTGCCTGCACTTGCCTGGCAAGCATAAGGTCCTGAATTCGATCCCCGGTACCAAAAAGAAAAAAAGAAAAAAAAAAAAAAAACCTTGCCTCATGGGTGCTCACAAAGTCTGCGTGAGTGGTTTTTACTGCTTGTTTGGTTTCACGGCGCTGGGGAGTGGACTCAGGCCACACATAGGCTAGGCAAGCGCTCTACCAGTGAGCTATATCCCCAGCCCAACGGTGGAGGCGTTTTTAACAAGGGCAGACATCTCAGATGAGCAGAACCATATAAAAATCTGTGCTGTAGAGGTGACAGCCCAGGCTGCACGTGGAGAGCTGGGGCGCAGGGGGAGGATGCAGGTGACCCTACAGACGCCGACCCCTTTTACAGGCAGCCTCCTCCGTTCCCCTCGTGCCTGGCTCCGACTTGGCCCTGTTTCTCCTCTGCTGTCCTTCAGAGGGAAGCACTGCCCTTCTGCCACTGAATGATGCTTGTGGGGACAGAGGCTATGCAATCAGCAGGAAAGATGTCGCTGCACGCCCCAGTGTGGTCAAATGAGCGCTATTTACAAAACTAACTAAAACCAGTGTGTTCGCGCAGAGGTCAATACACTTATTTTTCAATAAACTGCACAGCAGTGTCCCTGTGGCAATAGGTAGGCTTGGGCCCAGGGGCCACAGTTTGTCAACGCTTGGTGCAGATGTCTTCGGCACTGCCACACCTTCTCTGGGTCCTTTCTATCTCAGTTAGTTTGCTTGTAAGACTCAGGCTGAGAGCGTGATCCTGGTCTCCTCCCACTGGAAACAAGGAGCTTCCTCTCCAGTGTACCAGCCCAAGCCTCCCTGGAAGGCGCCACCCAGCCCCTGGGCAGTCAGTGGCCTCTCCAAGAACCTGTCTTAGGCTCCAGAAAGGAGCCCTGTGGGACGCATGCCAATCAGGCCGGCCTCAAGCCCAGGACATTGCTGCTGCACAGACTTTATTGCCTCCTCCAGGCCCCAAGGTCACCATGCCTATAGGCCTGACCTCTCTCTGGGGATACTTGCAGACCCACCCGCAGACAGCAATTGTGGAAATCCACAGTCAGATATGCTCTCCTGCCTTGCCAAGCTTAAGGGATGTGGGCAGTCGAGAACCCGCCGGAGGGTAGCATCTACTCACTTCTCCTCTGTGGTCCTCGGAGAGGGGATTTTGGGGAGCAGCTTCCTCCGCTGCTGAGCCTCCTCCAGGAGATGCTCGTCTTTGGGGAAGATTCCCTCCATCAGGTCCATGGTGGTCTTGATTTTCACGCTGGGATCCAGGATGTCGGCCAAGGACTTATCCTTGCCCACGATCGCCCTGGCCAGCTCCTCGGACTTCAGGTCCTCTGCCGTCTTCTCTTTGGTCTTAGTGTAGCTGAGCCCTGGAGGGGAGGCGCAGAGGTCCAGTGCAGGGGCTGTGGGGGGCCCCGGGGGCTGGGGTGCAGGCGGCCGGGCTCTCGGTGGGGCCTGAGCCTCGGGGCCCTGCCGTGTGTACACACAGAAGCGGGAGTAGCTCTGCTCCGACGTGCTCAGTGTCTTGATCTGGTCCCGCTCCAGCCCGCTGGGCAGCACGGGCAGCTCAGCCGGGTGTGCCAGGCTCTGGCGACTCTCCTTCTCGGGCTGGCTCTCTGAGTGCACGATCTTGATGGGCACCATCTTTACCGTGGTGTTGTTGTCCATCACCCGCTCGATTCTGGAAGAGAAGAGCCGACTCTGAAACCCTGAGATGCACATAGTCCCGCCTGGGCCCACTCAGCTGGCAGCACCACCAGGTCCCACGTGCTAGAGGAGGTCGAGAAGGTGGCCCCGTGTGAGCCCACTTGTGGTCTCCTGACCCACGGATCACACTATGGCTCAGAGGGCATGTGGTGGGCGACTGAGTGACACCGGATCGGTCCATATTTACTTCCTTTTATCCTGATCATAATGCAGACAGTGACAAGTTCAACCCAGTTAAACCCTTCCAGCAGGGGAGACTTGCAGCGGGGTCAGGGTGGGCCTGGGGACCCTGGAGGGCTTCTATGGAGAGGGCTATTTGGCTGAGGGGTCCCATCAATTGCCCCCTTAGAGGCTCCTCATGAGCTCCCCTTCCCCCAAGCCACCCCTTGTACAAACATCACACCAGGAAGAGGATCCCTGAAGTACCAGGGAATCCACGGGCTCTGTGTCTCGGTCATGTGCATATTAAGAAGGGCACATGTTTCCTTCTGAAAGACAGGTCTTGCTGGGTCTGGTTGCACAGGCCTGCGATCCTAGCACTCAAGAGGCTGAGGTAGGACGGTCACAAGTTCAAGGCCAGCCTGAACTACATAGTCAGACCCTGTCTCAAACAACAACAACAAAACAAGTTTCTTGGTAAAAGGGGCCAGGGAGGCATCTGAAGCACTCACAGGGAAGTGAGAAAAAGGAGAACAGACCGCCCAGTCCACACCACAGCACCTGGCCTGGGCCAGCTCAGGCACAGGGAGACTAAGGCAGGGCTGTCAGGACTGGCTGATTTCACGGGACATAGTGAAGGAACAGAGCCATCTGCCGGTCCCAGGAGGGAAAAAATAAACGAGCCCAAATTCAGGAACTGAAAGGGATGGACCCAGTGTTGTGTGGCCCAAGGGAAGCTATGGTAAATAGCTGATGAACAGCATTAGTCTCTAAATGAAATGCTGGTCTCCCCTGCCCCCTTCACTGGATCACTGAGGGGAATGCTGGATGGCCCTACCTCCTCATAAGGGTGTGGTGCACATGCTTCCCGCTGTCCGGGAGATAGATTAAGAGCTGATATATGTTTTACCTGGGCATTCTTATATGGCTACACAACTCCATCCTCATGCATAACTTTTAAAAAGTCTACCTTTGTGGAAAATCCTATTTAGATGTACTGAACTTAAAAAAGCAAACACTGCCATCTTATCCAAGGAAGAACAAATAAACAAAAACTTTTGCATTCACTTCTCTCTATACGTAGAAACCCTGATCACCTATTACTGATGGTTAACTCAGCTTGGATTTTTCTCTTTCCTCGTTTGTGGAGAAATTTGATTTCTAGTGAAGGAAAGTGTAACAGAAAAAATTAAGCAACAAAAACAAATCTTTCACAGGTTAACATATATTTTCTAACAAGGCACCTTTATCCAGCTAGCTAGCTAGCACTCTACCGCTTAAGTCCCCAGCTATCCAGTGCTATCTATTCATCTATGTATCTATCTTATCTGCCTTCGGTGCTGGGGATGTGCACACGCCAGGCAAGCACTCCACCACTGAGGTATGTCCCCAGCCTTTCCTGGTCATTTCTAAACACTAATTGATCTCTCCTCTTAAAAATGCTCAACACTTCGACCTTTAAAAAAAAGTTTGATGCACCTCTGTCTGGAGTAAGAGCAAAATACAGGTGATTAGACCTTCCTGCTTCCAGATCTCACCAGTTCCTAATCAGAAACAAGACCAGCAGGGATGGAGGATCCTCCCAGACCACAGGCCTCCCTGCAGGTCAGTGGATCCCATCTCGAAGTCCAAAGCTCTACCATGTCACGCCACCGCCTGCAGCCCCACCTGCCATGCTGGGTCTCCCAAGCTACATGGTCCACTGGGGGGAAGCTGTCCCAACCCCTGCTAAGGATAATCCTGCCAGAAGGGGCCTTGTCTGCTCTGTGCTCACACTCCCAGGCACAGAAACAAAGAACGTACCTATGAACAGCTCTGAGAGCAATCAAATCTGTAGCTTTTGCTGGTCACAGTGGCTCGTGCCTATAATCCCAGCATTCGGGAGGATGAGGTAGAAGAATTGAGAGTTTGAGGCCAGCCTGGACTACATAGGGAATTGGGGGCGGGGGGAGGGAAAAGAAAAGAAAATGAAGGAAAGAAGGAAAAGAAAAGAAAAGAAAGAAAGGAGGGGAGGAGCCCTCGGCCACAGATGGTGTGGAAGTTACCTGTGAGACTTGGGTATGTGATTTCAGGGAAGAGTGAGATTACATCAGTAAGAGAGACTTCCCCTCATCCAAACACACTGTGATGCAGTCCAAGCCAATATGAACCCAATATGTAACCTAGGCTGGACTCAAACTTGCAATCCTCCCGCATCGGTCTCCCAAGTACCTGAGATTACGGGGATCCAACAGCATGCCAACCCCAGCTAGCTTTTAACTTTTGTTTTTTTAAAGCAGGGGAAGGGCTGAGGATTTAGCACTGTGCCTGCCTGGCTAGCACAAGGTCCTGAGATTGATTCCCGGTACCACGGGAAAAAAAAGCAGGGGGAAAAAAGGAATAGGAAAATATTGAACATTATGCAAACACCAACTTCACCTAAAGATGTTACACTTAGGATAGGCCTGATTCTGATAATAACTATTAAATGATTTAAAAAACACCACCCCCCAGGTCTGCAGACGCCGGTGGGTAAGAGATATAAATGCATTCAGCTCAAGGGAGAGGGACAGTCATCCTCTGAGGGCAGGACAGCCCCACTGAGTCAGAGCTCCCCTTGATCACTGGAGTCAGGCTTCTCCAGGACCGGCTTTCAGCCCAGTGTCCTGGGCTGCAGCAAGGTCTCGGCCACAGTCCACCCAGGAAGGACCCTCAAACCCTTGCGTGCAGAGATGGGATGCGCAGGACGGCCCTGGCAGCGCAATACCTTGTAGAATGCTCATCGTGGATGAGCAGGGGGGGCTTGTCCGTCAGCTTCTGTGGTGCAAACTGCGGCGAGGGGGAGCGAGAGGTCTCCATGGCGAAGGCCTGCGGGTGCCGGAACTTGGATGAGGGCAGTGCTTCTGGCCGAGGACAAGGTGTGTCCTCTTTCACATGCTGGCTGTCACAGGCGGCGGCCTTGGGGGCGTCTTGGGGCTGGGCACTGCTGAACCCGGAGGGGCTGCGCGAGAGGGACTGGCAGGTCACAGCAGCATTCAGGGACGTAGTTGGCAGGCCGGCCGGGTGAGGGTCCGCAGGAGCTGAGATCAGGGTCCTGTGCTTCCTGGACTCGAGCCTGGGCGGCGGAGGCCTCTGCGGGGCTGGCCTCTTGGGGGGTGCAGCGGCGCTCACTGGACACGAGTCCTGTCCCTGAACCGACAGGGGCGAGGGGGCACCCTGCACTTGTAGTCCCAAGTCTGCGGGCGTGTTCTCCTCAGAGTGCCTATTATCTCGGGGCAGCTCAGGGGCTTCCCGAGTTGGGGCGGAGCCAGACACTGAGGATGGGGGCCGTGCACTCTGCTGCGCTGGGTCCTGCCATGCTGCTGGGCTGGCCTCAGGACACTGGGCATCTGCTTGTCTAGAGGAAGAATGAATAAAAATCAGTCACGGGTTCCAACGGACACCTTCACCCTGCCTGGGACTACACCCACATCTTGGCAATCCCGCTAGGTCACCTGAAGGAGTTAAATCTGTTACACACGCTTTCCCAGACCTGTCTCCACTGCCACTCCTCCTGCAAAGGCGGCATTCCTAGCACACAGGAGGCAAGACGCTGTACGTGGTGGGTTATGCACGGAACACAAGGCATGCAAGACACATGCACGCACACCCATATACCAAATGCATTCTTTCAATTTAAAAAATGGCACGAATTTGTAGAAAACAGTGTGGAAACCTATAGCTATATTCACAACTGCTCGTTCCAGTTGCAGTATTTTCATATTGCTTCTAGGAAACCGCCAGATAAACTGCGGTACACTTTCCTTTTCTTAGATGGGCTGCAAGTCAATTCAGTTATAAAATCTTTAAAGTCCAGTAGTGTGTTATGACCAGAAAAAGGCCACTTCTTCTGGAAGCAGTTATGACTTGTGGATCTTCTCACGACTATCACGTCACATACATGGGCACACACTTACATAAATGTGACACACACACATGTGCATAGGCTTCACGTGTGTGCTTATCCATGTCACCGCTGAACTGCATGGGCTACAGCTAGGGAATGTGCACAAATCAGCCAGCTGCACTTTGGCCTGCACAATGCTTCCTCCAGACCAAAAGGTAACAAAACAAGCTTCTGATTGAAGGTAAGACCTGTTTTTAACTTTTGAAAAATGACACACGAGCACTGGAGTGTACCTCAGTAGTAAAGCACTTGCCTAGGACGCATGAGGCCCTGAATTTGATCCCCGGGAGAAGAGCACAAGGACTCATCAACAGAATTCCAGAAGAGGGCACCAAATGGAGACACACCCAGGAGATAGACACAAGCAGCAATAAGAGATGCAACCTATTCAGTAAGAAGCAGAACAGAGGCTGCCTGGCCATACCCAGGGCACAAGAGTCTCACCCCAGGACTGGCCTTGGCCTGGCAGATGCACTTGCCCCTGAATTCACGCCCTGGCACAATCTGGATGCCAGTCTCTATGTGCCAGTGCAAGTGGGCAGTTCCCTCCACGCTATATATGCTCCAGCACAGAACAAGCCCAAGCCCAGTGCCCTCTGTTCGCCTGCATCTCCACAGCAGAGAGGGAGCAGCACAGTATTGCCCTAGGGCCAGACACTGAAGTCCTCCACATCTGGAAGAAGAGAGAAGACCTCAACAAGCTGCAACAATACTACTCTAGAGAGCACAATCGGGGCTGTGAGACCACACCCCTTCCATGCACCGGAACTTGAGCAACACGCAGGGCCAAGAATAACAAAGGCCCAGGAGGGCCAGGGATTTAGCTCAGTGGTTTTGCTGCCTGCTGGGCAAGCGCAAGGACTTGAGTTCGATCCCCGGTACCAAAAAAAAAAAAAAAAACCAAAGGCCCAGGAAAGCCCTGAAGCTCCGGGTTCATACATACGGGCTGCACATCATGTGTGTAAGTATAACCAAGTGAATTATGGAATTATGGGAAAGCTCATGCACACACAGCAGATAGGACTGAGATGGCTCAGTACCCTGTCAATCACAGCGTGAACAGCCCAATGGCAGGCACCTTTGCCAGGGCACATGTTTTCAAATCCAGAAGTCTAACATCTCCATCCCGTTCTGTCTCTGCACCGCCCCGTGCTGCTTCTCTCCCGGCTAGAGCCACTGTTTTCATTTCTGCTGGCACAAACCCGCTCACTCTGAGCACACCTTGCTTGCCCTGTTAACTTCAATAAATGTAACTGCTCTTCTTCTTTACCATTGTGTGTATAACTTGCAATTCGTTGCTCGCTGTGCACAAGAATCTGGAATCTACGCCCCAGGAACCCATCACGTATTGTATCACTACCACCAAACAGAAGAGCTTGAGCAGATACCAATCCAACCCACAGAAGTTTCATTTTTTTGGGGGGGGGGTACTGGGGATCGAACTCAGGTCCTTGTGCTTGCACAGCAGGCGGTGAAACCACTGAGCTAAATCCCCGGCCCAGAAGTTTCATTTCTTGTATGTATTGAGTGGATACTCACAGAAATATCTAGCTGAAGTTTCATCAAAACAACTCAGACACAACAATGAATGGCTTAGAGAACAATGCCCAACTGAGTAGCTACCCAGTCACAAAACAGAGGATGACATTAGCACACTGTCAATCGATGCTGGGTTCTGAGAAGTGCAACTCATGAGTGAGATGTCTCCACACTTCACTTCTTTTCAGAAAGCGGGAGTGTGCTGGAATTGTTTTCCTCCTCTCAAAACTCTGAAATTTAGCATCCACAGACCCATCTAAAGGTACCTGACATCTGTCTGTCATTTAACAGCTATCACACCATATTAACAGAAAAACAAATGAGCTTTGATTTTGGGTAAAATCTAAGTGCCTTTGGTCACCTGGATGCACACATGATTTGCAAAGGATCAAAAACCTGGGAATCTGGGGTTCTGCTGGGGTCATGTTCCAATCTCGTATCTAACAGGTTCCAAGATAGTTCTGTGTAGACAATGTGGATAATGAACACGTGAGCGTGGCACATGGAGATACACCTTCAGATGCAGATGAACGCTGCGTATGTGTATATGCTATCCAAGTGTGCTGTGTATGTGTAGATGTGTATAAATGTATGCTATGTGTCCCTGTCTTGTACACGTGTGTGTTATGTACACACAGGCCTGCATTGTGTTATAGGTGTGTGTAGTGCAGATAGAACAATGGAGCTGAGGAAATCACTCCCATCCATCCACTTAACCTTGAACAGCACCCTAGGGTCATTCCTCCTTCCACTGTCCTAAGAGGGGTAGAGAATAACACAACAAAAAACCCAGGACATCTTCGCTACTCTAGGTGAGAACACATAGCGCTGGATCTCCTGGCCTGACCTGCAGTCCCCTTCACCTTACTCAAACCTTATTAAGGTTTCATGGATATGTACTACATCTCATAAATGTAATTAAGAGCAGAGTGAATTCTGGGACAGATATGCATACTGAGAGCTCCAGAGAGGATACAGCATCCTGTCAATCATCCTTGGAAACTCAGAAGGAGGCACCTGGGTGGAGGTGCATGTCCTTGAAATTCTGAAAGCCTGATTTATCTGTGTGATGTGTTCTGTGTGCAGTACACAGTGCTTTTACGTTCCTGTCATCTCGGCACCACTCTTCTGTTCATGCCACATTTTAAATACTATTCTTTTTTTTTTTTGGTACCGGAAACTGAACTGGGGTCCTTGCGCTTGCGCAGCAGGCGGCGAAACCACTGAGCTAAATCCCTGGCCCTCATGCCACATTTTTGTCAGCACGGACTCGCCCTGAGTACAACTTCCCGTGGACTTCAATAAATGTAACTGCCTTCCACTTGCCACTGGCTGAGCGTGCTTGCAATCCATTGCTCATTGTACACAAGAGCCTGGATCTTACCTGCTAAATTCATCACGTGGTAACGTGTGTGTTGCATAGGTGTCTGTGTTGTGATTATGTCTCTGCTTATATGTATATCCCTTTTCTGTACATTTAAGAATTAAAAAAAAAAAAAAAAAAAAGCAGGTCCAGAGACAAAGCAAGAGAAGGAGATGACTTAAGGATTTTGTGTATCCACCAAGTGCCTGGGCAGGGAGGGAAGCCACACAAAAAACATCTGAAAGGCAGCTGCACCCAGGGTCCTGGCAATTGATATTCAGGCTGGCTCCCTTCATTCTCATGCAAAACATGCTAATGACAGGTTACCAGGGACACAGCTGCAGCTCTGAGAGGGGAGAGGTAAGTGAGGCAGGCAGGCTCCTGGCACAGAGGTTCCGTAAACCTGCACGTCCAGCAGAGCCCAGCCACTCTCTTCAGTGGACTGGGCATGGCTGCAGGACTCAGGTGCTGATGGGTCCCTAACAGGACAACGAAGCCAAACAAAAGGCATCTGAAGTGGACCAGCCCTCGGGAAGGGCTGCCTCTGATGCTGCCCATAGCTCAACATGGTGTCACAGGATAGAAATCACCGTCAGGGAAAAAAGTCAAATGCTCTTGAAATCCATCATCATTGCTATTATTCAAATCAACATTTCTAATCCTGCTATGGGGGCCAGCTCCACAACTAACGCGAGGTTGCCATACATCAGAGGCAGCCGTTTTATTTCCAGGCTGCAACTGCTCACACACTCTCCCTGAAGACCATGGGACTCATTTCTCTGGGTCTCCTTTCCGCTCCCTGGGGCCGCACCTGGGCACAGCTGGCTCTACACCACGCAGGCCCTTGCCAATTCTGCCCCAACTCTCCTATCTAACTGTTCACCAATCTCCAAGATGTGCTCCCCCTGGGCTGGAAGCATCTCCTCAGGCGGCAGGGGGCCGGCCTACAGGTACCCATTTATTACACCTGTCAGGCTCCACTTTCACCTGCAGGCCCCTGAGGCGTGGAGATGCACCGCTCACTGGCCAACTGTCACTGTGCAGAACACAAAGAGAGGAGCTGCATTTTTTCAAGACACAAGCAGCTCTATCCTCAGTGAAACAACCTGTGTACAAACATCCCAACAACACTAAGAATATCTAGACTGCTACATCATCGCTCATTAACTCACTGTTGCTTTGTAAACAGGGTCTATAATTCGCTTCACCAAGAAGGCCTGGAGAGTTCTCAGTCTTTGGCGTGACTTGAGGAATACACATCGTAGGCCCCTCTCTTCCTGAGAACATTTGGTGTCAATGACCGTATCAGATCCCCTCCCTGGCAGAACAGAAAACCTTCCCAGGCAATGCAGTTACACATCCTGCAAGCACAAAGGGTAACAGGAAGCCAAGGTCTGGGTTCGAGATAAGCGGCCTGCCCCACTGTGGGCCGACACCCCTGGGGGCCACCAGACTTCCTCCGCTCCAGGACAAAACGTCCCACTTCTGGCACTACCCCTCCCCGACCCAAACTCCCCCATGCAGTTCCCCCTCACCCAAGCCCCCAGGG